CGGCTGGTTAAAAATATCTCAAGAGTTTGAATCTAAATGGCAAATGCCACATTGTGTTGGAGCTTTAGATGGAGAGCATGTTGTACATCAAGTATGAGATTATATGAAGACTTAAATAATCTATTTTAACAATATTTATTTTAATTTAAATATGCAATGTGTTTCAGGCATTTGCAAGTAGTGGTTCCATAAATTTTAATTACAAAGGGAGCCACAGCACCATTCTTATGGTACTATGTGATGCTAACTATAATTTTACCTATGTAAATATTGGAATGCCAGGTAGATGTAGTGATGGCGGTGTGTTTAAAAATAGTGAAATGGGCTAAAGAATTTTAAAAAATGAATTCAACTTTCCCATATCTTCTGCCATTAGTGAGAATTTTACAAATATACCCTACTACATTGTGGTTGATGAAGCATTTCCTCTTCAAACATCTATTATGAGACCATATCCAGGGAGAGTGACGCGGCTACACTGGTAGGACTGGTAGGCCGGTCGTTGTTGTGGGTGCGCGTTGATGCACTCGGCACAAACGCACAACTTAATAGTTTATAAAAGCAAATAAACGGAAACACGAACGTAAGATTGTGTAAATGCCGGGTGGCGTTTATTTAACGTAAAAGAAAAGCAAATAAAACAGAAAGACCCGTGGCCGGGTGAAGGTAGGTATTTTACAATACGAACTACAAAAAGACGGATACGGTGGATCGCGTGTTGTAGGGACGTAATCAGACCGTAACGGTGGTTGATGAACGAGAGAGAGCGGCCGGTACTCGTCCTACGCGCCTTGCCCGGGGGGAGTCCCGCCTTGCCTTTGCGGCGTGGTGGGAGAGTTGGCGGTGTCGCGCTTGTAGCCCGTGGTGGCGGTTTGTGAAGTGCAGATAGGTAGCTCCGACCCCTGTACTTTGTACTGGTCGTCGGTTGCGTACCGTATCATACTCCCTTGCCAAACCGCCGCACGGGGTACAATTGTACCGGTGCTGGCGTCCCTTGTGCTGTAGCTTGCGCTACCCCTTGCCAGTACTTGGGGTAGGCTTGCCCTTCCCGTGTTCATTTATTCCCTTGTCGGGGATGTTGCTGGGGTGAAGAAGGGTTGTGGGTACACCGTTTCCCCCCCTGTAGCCCCTCCAGCCGCTTGTCTTGCTCATCCAACCATGCGTCGTAGGAGGTTTGCTCCTCGTCCGACGCTGGTTGTGGTTGAGCTTGGCTGGTTGATCCCCCCCCCCCCGCTCCTCGGCCTTTTCGTCCTTGGTCGCGAGTTGGTCAACCTCCATGGCTTCCGGAGGTGTAGGTTCGGTTGGGGGGCAGCTGGCCGTGTCGGGATTCGAGGTTGGTTGGGTGCGCTTGGCAAGCCTATGTGCTTGCGTTGCCTGGCGTTCCCGTTCCAACCTTTTCTCCTTCAACTTTTGGAATATTTTTTTGATCCGTGCTTGCTGCGCCTCCGTCCTTACCTTAACTACTGCGGTTGGATTTCCCCCTACCACCACGGGTACCGGTGCTGGCTCCCTGGGTGGTACTGGGGCGGTTGCCCTCGTTGCCCCTGTGGGGGCCCTTTGTGTGTGGGGTCCGGCTTGTTGTGGGCGGTGTTGCCGTGTGATGGAGTTGGTGCGGCTGCCGTGTGGTGTGGATGACTGTTGTGGACGCAACCGCCGCTCCACGTCCGCTGTCCGGTCGTCCCATCCACGGTTGTAAATTGCCGCCCTCACCGGGTCCTGTAGCAGTTGACGTAGTGGCATACGGCGTACCTGCGCGGCTGTTATCGGCATGTCTGTGTGGACCAAACCGAGTTGGCTGATCAGGGCCGCCACTGGTTCCCATCTGTCGTCCCCTTGTCTTGCCATGGTGCTAGAGAGGGGTGGTTAGTAGTGAATACAAAAAAAATTAAATTTTATTTTTGTCCTATGGGCGCGCGTTTTAGGCAAGACACATGTATCTTCCGTGGCGGTTGCTGATCGGTAAGGAAAACTCCTTTTCCGACCCGCTTTGCTAGCCTTACCGGTCCCCACCATTTTGGTGCGAATCCGGCATGGAAGTCCTTATGGTATTTTAGTCGCCAGGTGGAGAATTTATAAGGGAGTGATAATTGCTAGTGAGAAAACCATAAACAGTATGATAAAAGCCACTGTAGTGCTGCATAATTTTGTTAAAAATAAAGAAACTGAGTCAGGTTAGATATAACATGTTCATTAAGAATATAAAAGAAAAAAAATTTAGAAAAACATATTGTAGCAGCTAGACAAATAGTTTTTGAATATATACATGATGAATTAACTGTTTTTGAAAAATATGAAATAGATACTTTTTATCTGTGTTTATTTTTCAATGAATATTCAAAGATACTCATATTCTTATTACCATTACAATGTATTAATTAAACTTATTAATTTTCAAATGACAAATACTATAGTATAATAAGTTGTAATTAATCATTAAAAATGAAAATAATATAATATTATCAATATCAAATAAAAAATGTATCAATATATTATGTTCCATATTTAAAATGATTCAACTTTCATATTAAATATACATATTTTGCAGGTCTACATTCATATTATGTACAACCGAATATTGAAAGTTATATCAACCAACACCAAGCAAATAATGGTTTTGAATCTTGTTTAGTTCCTATTTACGGTTGGGATCCAACTTTTACGATAGAGATGGTAAAGAAGTACGGTTACAGTTAACAGATTATTTTTCAAAGGAAGGTTCTGTGCCATTTCAATACTTGAATGTTTAAGTTTTATTTTAAATAGTTAAGAATATTTATTTTTTATACAATAACAAGATTATAAGAACTTATATTTAAAATACAAAATTAAAAAAAAAGTACAACAGATTTTTTATTGCACACGTAAAGTCCATAAGTTTCTTTCTTTGGATATATCTAAATATATTATACATAATATAATAATATGGTTAATTTACTTAGCTCTTCTATAACTAAAGCTATAAGTTTTCCTTGCAACCTTGTTTTAGATTGTTTTTTAATACCATAGATAAGTATATAATATGTCTTATACCTAGACTGACATACCGTCTCTACTCAGAATCGTTTTTCTTATACAATGATATTATATCATTGAATTCAAATTTAATACCATCCATTATACAGTGACCCACTTATAACCTACAGTACAGCAGAGCACCTTTTTTTCTATGAATGTCAGTAAAACTTCATTTGTTGGGTGAAAAAGCTTGAAAAATTAATACAAGACTCCTACTATATTGTTACAATGGTATTTGAAAAATATTAAAAATCCTTAGTCACAGTTTTTATTTATAAGCATTTAAAGTTAAAATCTTGATAAAATACGGAAAAATCACGAAAATTAGCAAATAATTTTAGTTGATTATTCATAAAAATTTTTCTTTTTAAATCTAAGATTTCAAAATGTAATAGGTACATGATTAATTATAAGTTTGCCTACCTTTATCATAAATAAAATGTCTACAAGCAAATCAAATTAAATTTTTATGAATGTTTGAAATTTACATTTTTACAATATTGGATATTCATGATTTGCACTCGATTTATCATGTTGCGGTTTTGACGGTTTTGTTATTTTATTGTTATTCAAAGACGAATAACTGTAGATACATGAAAATTTTACTGAATGTTTATATTTTCATTTTCTATACACCATAAAATTCAACACATCCATTGTTTGGCCAACAACGCCGTTGCTCCGCTGTACCTCGCGTCGGGTGCCGAACATTCGCGAAGTTTAACATCGCCCCCCCCTCCACCACCCGTGATCGAGCTTGTGGCGCGCTTCCAGCCGCGGGCTACCGCCGTAAGACAGTTCTGTCCGCACGTCCGTGCTTGACCGGTCAATTTGTTTTTTTGTACCCGCGCCACCTGATTGTTGCTCATAGTGTCCGGACCCGTCCGTCGACTCCGTTTGTTGTATTTGTAGGCTTTTTTTAGCCATTACGCGCGTATCGTCGTCCAGAGTGGTATATCGATCGGCCGTTGTCGACCCTCCGTGTGTGCTAAAGCGCCAGACCATTACCGTCGACGTCGTGGTTTCATTCGCCGCTGTGCGTGTGCGGTTCCTCCCGACCGACTGTGTGCCGCCGGCGTCGTTCATTGCCATACTTGTGAATTATCACCGATCGTACTCGTCGGCTATACCCTTCCCGTTCGACGCTTAGTTGAGGGCTTCTCCGATCTACCGTGCTTTGGGAGCATTCGGTTTTGGGGAATCCACGTGGTTTACGACCGTGGCACTGCTGCACGCCGATACGCGTGAGCACCGCGACACGCAGGTGTGCCAACCCCGTTGTGACGGTGCTCCGTTCCTTGCCACTTTCGCCGTCCGTTGTTGATAGTTGGTACCAGTTCCAGTTGCCGCCGTGTCCAGGAGTCAGTTGCGACCACGGTTTAAGATAGAATGGTTAAGCGACGAGGCCTGTTATTTCGGCGGAAGAGTTTCTTATCAAAAATATGAAAAACTCACTGCCCCGTGGCGCGATCTACTAAATTACCACGATAATCTTGATATTCTTTATTTATTAAATAATAATAATACTATACTATAATATAATACCATAATAATACTATATTATAAATTATAATTATTATTAATTATTAATTATTATTATAATACCTACTTCATAATACTTTATGTTTGAAAACCACGGTTTAACATCATCTATCTTAAACCGTGTTGAAAACGTAGAAGAACTTTACAGTGTATTTTTTTTTAACAAATGTCAAATTTATTTTTATTTTGGCATTTAATAGCTTTTCAATCTAATACCAGCTGTATGAAGTGTTAACTAATTTTACAAATAAAAATAAAAACCAGTTGTTAAATAAACCGATTTTTTAATTTCAATTTTTCTATTCTAAACCAAAACAGATTACCAAAAGGAATAATAGGTAAATCAAAATATAAATATAGTTTGTATAAAACATAATTTTATAATTTGTAATTGTTAATATCTTACTATATATAATACACTATAAACCAAAAGCTTATATTTCCTAAGAGGACACTAATTTAGATATTTTTTTCTTGGTTTTGTTTAATTTTTTTGCTTCCTGATTTTTTGTATAACTATACTGTCTCATCCTCATTGTTGAATACATAATAAAAATGTCTGTTATGATTTCTGTCTTATGTAGATTACATGGAAAAGTTATGGTTATGTTCTCTGTCTGGAAGAACTCTTCATGTGTATCATCAAAAGGACTTAAAGATTCAGCATGTTTCATAAAGCATAATTCTAATGACTCCAAAAGTTTGAATAAATAGTGATTTGGATGGGTCAAAAATCCCCGCGTTTTCAAATTCACCAAATCAGCAGCTGGATTTGATGATGTTCCATAAATAGTTTGTAAACTCATAAGGCATGTTTCACATTTTGTAGTTTTTATTAATCTTTTATTTATATATCTATAAAATAATAATGTAATAATATTACACATAATAATATCGCACCCTTTTTAAGTTGCAATCTCTTTAAACACACCTAACAAAATGTAGAAAAGATTAATTGTACAAAAACTTAACATTATTTATAAAAAATATATTTACAGTTTATTTACTGGATCCTTGACCTGAGTCCCAAGTACTAATAATATCACTTTCATAGAAATGTTTTGCACAGATCCTATGACTTTTTTTAAGTTGCATCCCTAATGCTTCTCCCACAAAATTTTAATCTCTTCATTTTTGGGGACTCCAAAAAGAGATTTTGATGCCTCATGAGGCTCGTGTACACAACAATAACTTGGCATTTTTAAATTAATATAAAAATAAGTATGAACATTTTATAATTAATTCACAATAACCACAATTATTATAATATCATGGTAAATAGAATTGGCGCGAATTAACATATACTTTATCTCTTTAAAATTCCGTAAAATTCCGTCTGGAATTATTGCTTTTGGCGCCAACATTTAGTGATAGTTCATGTTGGCACCGGAAGCGCTAGTATCCATTGAGTAAAAACATTTATTTGATAAGAAACTTTTCCGCCGTAAAGTACCGTGGGATTGTATGGATCGTCGCTTAACCATTCTATCTTAAACCGTGGTTGCGACTGTCGTCAGCCTTATCACCACCGCCAACCAGATAAGATTGTTGTTTGTTCTTTTTGTTTACATTGTGTAATATTGTATACCTCCATTCCCGAACTTAGGTGATTGTGAAGTATAATCATACACCCCCGTTCATAAATATTGTAAATATTATTCGTACAATAATAGATTTCTTTCGTGCTTTGTGCGCACACCTATAATTGCGTGTTTCATATTGTTACCTAGTTTGTTAAGTACCCACTCATTGCCTACACACAGGTCACTTCAACGTCGCGAGTGCTGTGCGGCCAGCTAGAGACAGCATCTTCGATAGCTCCGACACAGTGCGCATACATCCATTATTATAGTCGGTGAAACACGATTGCGCCCGTCCTACCTTTTTACATGCAAAAAACGCAACATGATTACGCTCCATGAAATATAGGTTTAGCCCTTATAAGAATTTTCCAATGCGTTTTAACTGGTCATAACTCATAAATATAGGGAAAATAAAGTACTTAAAAACTTAGGCTAAGTTTACCACCCCCACTGTATTTTTAAAAAATTAATAGGAACATTGTTATAAGGGCAAGACCTATATTTCACGTAGCGCAATAGTGTTGTGTTTTTTGTAGGTAAAACGGTCGCAATCATACTGATTTGTTGAGCTCAATCATGTTGCGTTTTTTGGATGTAAAAAGGTAGTACGGGAGCAATCGTGTTACATCCATTATAGTGACCTACTCTATGACCGAGGTCCACTGATATACACTATACAGCAGGTTAACTTCCCCGGTTTTTACACATTGTAAATCGTGTATACTTGAAGTTATTATTATTATATTATATTTAAGATTAGATTTACATATACTTACGTAGATATAGACAAAACATGACTTTGAATTATTGTTGAAGTCACCAGATTTGATCCGTTTTCCGCGAGTTATATACAAATAAATATCAAATATCATAATATATGTGATTGGTATTTATAGTATTATGTATGGGTAAAATATTTTCAAATTGAAAATTGAATACCATATTTGCTATACAATAGTTTACAAATGACTAATTTAACATATTTTTTAATCGCAACAAAAAAACATATGAACACATATAAAATTAAATTTTCGAGTTTGAAAATAAATTACAACTTACTCGACAATATCAATGTTGGGCTCTTCTAGGCTCAAATGTTGCCGTATTTCTCTTTAAAATCATAAAAAAATAATCATGATGGGTATTTAAGTTTGAAATTTTATAAACAGATGATAGTCGATGGACAACTAATTAGAAAATATATACTTACATATTATTATGCCGATTTTTTTTAGCCATACTTAACCGGGTCTTCATATCTAATTTACGCTGTCTGTTTTTTTTTTTTTAAGAGTACGTGCTTTTTTGTTCCGAGACATAATAAAAAATCAAGTTTCACAGCGCAGTAGCAAATGCCAAGTAAAAGTTAAAATAATGTAAAAATAAACAAAAGCACATTGACATCGAACGTTTGACGTTCACTGTTGGATGTACAGGTCACAATGAAATAAATTCATATTTTATAAAATAATATAATACGGAATTATGATATTATCGGCAGTATTATTGTTTTCGTATCGACGATTTGGATATTTATAAACTATGCGGGCATGCGATAGATAACTATTTTTGACCTATGGTGCGGTACGGTGCGTATGCACGCGGTGTAGGTGTATGGGTACGTTTTTAGAAAGCTGCCGCTAGAGTAGCACTGGCAGCACTATACGGGACTATTACATGTTACAAATACGAAATATTTTTCAAAAACATATCTCGGGAGAATCAGTCTCATTTGGGTTACACTAATCGTACAAAATCCAACTTTCGCTAGCATAAAGGTAAGAACATTGTCTGTGTTCCTATGTTTTATTTTTTAGATAGCATTACCATAGTAATAATTATTAAATGTTGAATATTTAGTTTTTTTATACTTTTCTACAATCCATAAAAAATTATTGAGTTAAGTTATAATCATAATAAAACATAGGAACACAGATAATATTGTTATCCTTCAAGCCCGGATTAAGGGGGGTCCAGGGGGGGGGGCCATGGCCCCCGGGCCTAAATTTATTTAGGGGCCTCAGATTTGTCCATTATAGGCTATAACACCGCATAAATCACTTAAAAAAAATCGATGATTATTTAGCGAGGAAAAAAGCTTGTAAATTATAATTTATAAATAAAATGATACTTAATTCTTGATTTATTGCTATGTACCTTATACCTATACAGGGTGTTCCAAATTTCATGTGACAGCAGATTTCAGCATGAACTACTCAAATTATGAAAAAATGACCTACGTGAAAACTTATTTGAATCACATACTCAAAACTTATTTGATATTAATTGTTTTTTTTATTAGTTAAAAGGGGGAGATTTTAGGGGTAACTTTTAAAATCTAAATGGGAATCTATATTTTTGAAATATGATTCCTACAGGATTTTTTTTTTAATGAATTTTGACGTATCATTCATAATTATTGGTTGATAATTAAAGAAGCTATTTACATTCGAATTTTGTATTTAATTTGTAAAAATGCCATCAATGAATAATTATAATAATATACGTTGTGCTTCTGTTTTACGCGGATGCATTGTTGTACCTACAACCTTTATAATCTGTACGCTATCTAACTACCAATTTACTAGTAATAAAACGTGTATTTGTTATCTTAATTTAATTTTATATTACATAGGTCAAGCCACATGATTCTATTGATAGTAAAAAAAAAAAAAAAACAAGGCATTAGATAATAATATACCGTCTACAATCTACATATTATGTATATTGGATATTGTTTTATTTATAATCAATGCTATGGAACAGGTTTTGTGTCCTCAATAATTTTACATAATATTTATTATTTATAATATAAAATTAGAAATAAATATCATTCAGTTGACAAATAGGCAATAGCTAATTATACCAAATTGTTGTATAAATGTTATTATACTGCATAAAATTATTTAAAATGTATACAAATAGGTTAGGTACCTGTATCTGTATTTTTGACTAATGTAGGTGCCTATTCATATTTTATAAATTTAAATAATAAAAATAATAACCAAGGCTAGGAACTTAAAAATATGCAGTAAAAATTTGGAAAATATGCAATTTATTGAATAAAATACATTTTACATACAAAATTTAAAAATTTAAATTAGGTAGGTGTCTGAAAAAAAAATTAGAAGAATTTAAAAAAAAAATTAACACTGCACGTTTATGTATTTAATTACCTACGATTATACAATTTATTTATATCATGGTACAAAATATTAATCCAGTGGTAAATTTGAATAAAAATAAATATGGGCCGGTCAGCGATCACTATTACAAGTTCTCAGTAGTAGATATAAAGATTATAATATTATTTTTGGGAGCAATAGTAATAGCCGTTGATGAATTAATTTATTTTGTAAAACAATATAAAAGTATAAATTTCTAAAAAAAAAATTGTTCACGTTAATTCTATGATATATGCATATAATTAATGTTCTTATACCTAAAATATGCGAATTTGTACAAAAAATCACGAAATATTCAAAATTATGCAACAAACATTTTTGTATTTGTAATATACTTACTATGAATCAAATTTGTATCGAATCAGATTTTCAATATGCACTTTCTAAACAAATATGCAAATGCTTAAAGTTCCGAACCTTGGTAAGACTAATAACATACTTACATACCTATACTTTCATATTATGTTTGAATCAACTTAATATTAAATATGTATATCATTTCTAAACGCTGCAAAATGACAACATTGATTTCAAAAACTTGTATGATTAAACCTCGCGTTCAACATAATGTTGAATGATGCATATAAAATCAAACAGATTTTGAAAGAACATCACCTTTTCACAACATTAAGATATGATCAATCTAATATTAAATTATAATAACTAGGGCTTGGATGTTGTTACATTAATTTTATTAAAATTAATAATTCATTTACTAAAGACTAAAGGTTATGGCTAGACTTAGAGACTTAAAAGCTTTAAACACAAACATATACGCATAAAAATATGAGCAAATATGTATACTCTAGAAGTCTAGAACAAGACAATTTTGACTGAATTTATTAAAAATGTATTTAATTATTATTAATGTATTATCAATTTTTCCTTTTTTTTTAAATAATTGTACCTATTGCTCCAATGGCTTAAGCAAAAAAAAAAAAAAACGATAGGCCCATAGGAGGGTTTAACATCTGTAGCATGGATCATCACATGGAAGTCACACAATATTTACACAACGTTGGTGGTAAAATATGTATA